TCTGACACGAAAAAACCTATTTCTTGTGGCAATAAATTCTCACTTTATCGTGAAATGTTCACGTTCAAGTCATGAACACTTCACCAAAATCTGACATTGTCCGACACATTATCCCGAATTTTTATCCCAAGGAATTTATCCTCAAGATATGAGATATTTGGCGCAAGAATTTCGTTTTGTGATATTATGACGATATTTCTCAGTGTATTTATCAGAATTTATCATGATTTTTTCGAGTAGGTGTTAAAAATACACTAAGAAAAAAAGGCCCATCAGCTCAAAACATACTAAACAATGCGCTGCGACGTTTCTCTCATATAGGGACAAATCTAGGGTTAAAACAAAAACCTTGCGATTCGTAAATTGACATCCTTGTCTCCTCACAGTAGTGACTTCACAACTTGAGCAACTCCCTTCCCGCTCCCTCACGTATCGTCGCAAATTACAGAATCTCGTCAATCGCGCGATAACAATATTTGAAAGGATAGCAGATTGCATCCCTCCTTCATAACGTGTTTACATATCACCGAATATGGCTCAGAAGTATAATCGATTTGACTTCCTGTCTTCATCACATCAATGATGATGATAATAATAATAATAATAATAATAATAATAATAATAATAATAATAATATAAAGCCGTCTTTTGTATCTGCGCTTGAAGTGATCCCAGCCTGAAGGCGGAATGCCTCCATATTGGCTGGCCAGATGCAGAAGGCTGTCATCCTTGGGTCCCTTCGGCTACTTAGGCAGCATGACTCCGGACTGCAGTAGAGCTCACCCTCTGGTTAGAGAGAGCACTTCTGCAGAGCGATTAGGAAAAGTTTGTATCGCTTAGTTTACTGAGCAGTCTTCGAGGTGAAGTTGGAACCCTCAAGGATCGCTCAGTGATCTCATCAACGAGTAAAAAACAAAATAATAATAACAATGAAATTTCAAATGTTCATCAAATCTCGAGAAGTAATAATTTAGTAACAATAACGACAATCCAAAACTCCTCGGAGCAAATGCACTTCTGCTCTATTTATTCAACGAAAGAAAAAAAAATCATTACCGAACTGAACATTACGAGTTGCGACCCGATTTTCCCATACATATAGGCAAATGCACATTTCCATCTCACCGGCGTCGTTGATTTATGGAAAACGCATGTGGAATACTGTTTACATACATTGTCATGCTGTCGAAATATTCGCTGGTAAATATTAGTCCTCCGCGTATTTCCCCGAGCGTTCCACGATTTTGAATACCCCGTACTTTTATTTATTTACATCATATTTCCCTCCGCAATTTTTTTTTCTCCCCCAAGACAACGGAGTGACTCTCGTCAGTAGAACAGGGTAAGAAGGAAAAGCCGAGGGTAAAATAAACTTTTTTACAATTCTCTTCCCTCAAACGAGCCAAAAGCCGTAGAGAGACATTTGCTTTTCCTCGTTCCAAATTGGTTCAAGCACAAACCCAGATGGTATGAAGTACATGCTCCTCTTATACCTTGCATAAGAGCTAAATCACGCGCGTACATAATATCTCCGGAGAAATGTATTGCATACGTAATGGTTTAGCTGCAAGCAAAAAGCTTTGGTGAGGATTTTCGTCCATGTATTACATAAAAATTTATTACATACGTGTCAGTTGGGATATGTAAACTACGAAGGAAATGCAAATGAGCGCAATGAGATACTGTATCTCTACGTGACTCATGCAAAATTGACAAGTTATTTGTGCTCCTAATGGATCCCTCTCTGAGAAAAGTGAAATTACATTTGAGGAAAAGTGAGGTGCAATGAAGAATTTCGAGGAGAAAGAAATTCCTACGATGGGTGTATGTAGAAAATAGCATTCATGCTTCTGCATAAAAGCATTGTTTATAGTTGGATGTTCGATTAGAGAAAAATTAAGTTTATAATGACTAAAAATCTGGAAAGGTGCAAGGAAAACTACCTAGAAAAATTCATGTGCTAGCATCGAAAAAATTCATGGGGGCACCATAGTTTTTCTGGTGTAGGGCAATAGTTTTTATGGCTCTGCAAATTTCGCCAATGCGTTTATACTATATATTTTCCAGCATATTATATTCCAGTTCTTGACTGCACATTTTTTGCACTATTTCAATGTCCTTTTCCACTATCCTCGGTTGACCCTTCGCTTCACTCTCAGCCTTTTCCCTTCGCCTGCTTTTGAAGATCTCGGCGCTATCTCCACTTTCCTGGGGTTCAACCTTGTCCAAAAAAGACCGCCGTTGAATCTCTATATTCCATCGTTCACTTTTATATTATTTTGCGGTTTTTCTTCATTTCCTCACCTTTTTCCTCGGTTTCGTCCAGTCTTTGACTACACGTCACCTGAAATTTCACCGTCCGCTTTTACCTTGCGCTCCTCAGCGTCCCCATACGATGTAACCTCACTCTCGTGGTTCTCGATTTACTTTCGCCTTTCATTCTTTCTTATTGTTTCTCCCGAATTTTCTATTTATTCACCTCTGTTGCACTTTTGTCCCTGGATCGCTCGCGCTCGGTCGCCAGCCTTCATCCGTCGTACGGTTAGCGCAGCGCTGCTGGGGTAAACCGAGCATGCTGTTGCCATGTTGGCGCTTACCGCTATGCGCGCATTGCAAGTGTAGCAGTGAATGTAGCAACACTGCCGCTCGAGCGTTCCAGGGACTCACTCGCACCTCGCGGTGTCTTTTTTTTTTCAACTAAATAAATTTCCCGAGAAAAAGACGGACAATGCCAACGCTCAATGAAAGGTGTAGGATTATTTTACGTTCTATAAATTCTTTCGTCTTCCCGAGAATATTATTCACCCAAAATAATTCAGTAGCGAAGTGGTAAAACGGTTTAAGTCGACTTATCTCCCAGTTGAGTTTTTGAGGAATATTTCCGAATCTAAGGGAGAGAGCGAAATTTTCGTAATTTCATTTGTTATAGCTCTCAATCGGCTCTACAAAAAAGGTTGTAATAAAAATTTTCCTATCTCCCTCAAATTCCGAGATATTCATTGAAAACTGGTCAATAGTCAAAACTGACTTATACCATTTTACCACTTCGCTACTGAATTAACTAAATTCGCATCGATATAGAATTCCGTTGCACCATCAAAAGTGAAATAAATAAAACAAAAATACCAATTGAATCACCATAATTAACATAGATAGATAAAAATCGTCACCATTCGTTGCACTTCCATACAAAATTTCCCTTGGCCAATAGATAAAGATTCAGACGTCTTACCTTCTTTCACACTTTCATTCAGTACATTTTTACCCGTGAAATACACGGAGAAAAAAATTCCAGAATTTTTCAGGCGAAATTCAGGCAAAAATTACCGTGCCGTCTGGTAAAGTGGGTTCAATTGTCTAGCACCAGAAAAATTCCGGTGCTGCATAGTAAAAATTCCGGTAACGCACAATAAAAGCTTGATCCCTGACTGTTTTCTATTACATGATAAATTTCATTCAATAGTTAAAAATGAGTAAACATTGTCATTCAGCATATCATCCTATTAATTTTATTTTAACCTCTCCTCCATATCCTCTCTCCCATATTAAAAGCGGAATGCGCGGCAAACGTATGTGGAACGTTTGACAGGCCAATGTATATCTACAGCGTTATACACCTCATGAAGCGAAAATAAAGGGCACTTATTTTATTTCTTAACCGTTTTATCACAACACTAATTAATATTTCACTGAATTGATATTATGAAAAACATTAACCTGGGGTTTCAGTAAGGAGATATGTGAGAGAGGAGGCTAGAGGAGGCGACGGAATAAATCATCTGGTCACGTTGAGTCGATGTTCGTGGTTGCGGAGGGGGGACGAAGAGTACCGAAATCTTACGAATGCGCGATCGGGTCCTAGGATTCTGGTAGAGCACCGGAAAAATTTGCCAGTCAGTGTCATAATTTTTCTCGTATTTCTCGTAAAAATTCACTGTCGCTTCGATTTTACCGTGCTGCACAAGAATTTTTCCCCACATTTATCCGAAAAATGACTCGTGCAACAGTACTTTTTCCTACTCTTTGCGGTACATTTGGCCTGGAAAGACCATCTGAACCAACTTTACTGTGCGGGCACGGTAATTTTTCTCGTACATTTCTCTCCGTGTATGGGTGAAACACAGAGGCAAATTCACGAATAGTCGACTTCGTTATCATTACACATCCGGAAGGACTAGTTCCAAAATTAGTAAAGCTATGCAATGAAATAAGAGTGAAGAAACAAGTTTTATCCTATAAATGGCGAAGCACAATAATTCGCAGACCTAAATACGGTCGACCGTTCGCTACCGAATCCTACGTGCACTCGTGGTCACCGACGTTCCTGGTCCTCCCGGAGACGTTGAGCGCCGCACGTGCGTGATGTCCGAATCTTTAGAGCCCGGGTGAATTGAATCGAGAAAGGATTGAACTACGAACTCTAATTTTTTCAGAATTCTTAGGCGTCGAGAAACACTCCAAATCCTATCGTAAAAAGGAGAAAGGAAATCGATCTCGAGATATCTCGAAAATCTCGAATAAGCGTAAGCGTAAGACTGAAACCGAAGCGCCACTACGGGAGGAGATGAGCAGGCGCGTGCGCAGCACGCGCGGCCGATCTCGTATACAAAAAACGAAAACAACTGGCGTCGCAGTCATTGAGTGAGTGATCGAGGGCCAAGAAAAAAATAATTAAAAGGAGAATTTCGCGGATTGATTTCTCACACTCATCAAGGCTAAACAAAAAATTATCGATGATGAATAATTACTTTTGTTACACTCAACAACTAAACTAGAGTATATGTTCGTAGGAATTTAAGAGACGATAAATTTTGGAATGTTCTTCATAAAATTTGGGGATATTGATCACTCAAAAAGTTTCATGTCCTCAGAGCTTTTCCCTTGTGTAATTCCAAGTTCGACGGTAATGACATAATGATCCTGTAAAGTTCAATTTTAATTGAAGGATTTTGACGAGGAGTTTACAGAGTTAACAAGTGTTTTGATGTCATGGGTTGCAGGGTACAAAGTTGCATCATAATGTAACAGGTGGGGTGGTACTTTCTGATCATTCATTGGTACTCCAGGGGATAACTCGTGATGCTGCTGGTGACTACACCTGCATGGCTAATAACGAGGAGGGAGATTCGAAGTCTAATATCGTGGTGTTGGAAGTTATGTGTGAGTATATTCGCCTACGATCAATATTATCGCAGATATAATAATCTTACGAAAAAAATTTCTAAACTGTAGTAAACGATAGTTGCTAACAAACATTGAAGAGCAATAGCAATAAAGTACTTATAAATTTTTTTATAAATTGAAGGTCATTTTTTGAAATAATAAACAAATAAAATGTTCTAAATCGTAGGGTTTATTTTTGTTTTTTACTTCCCAATGGAAGCCTTGTATTTGATCGATTTTTCGATTTTCTAATTTTGCAGAAATGAAAAAATTATGTTTTTAGGGTCATGTCCATATGTATGTATGTGACAACTTGGGTTTTTGGTGATTAGTTTTGAGAAAATTTTACATAAATATATTAAATTTGTAGATAAAAATTCGAAATTTTGACTCATTGTAGCTCTGATTAAGCTCAACTTTGGCGCACTGTTTCAGCCTGATCGTTCCAGTAGTCCCTGAGATATTACAACTTATTTAAATTTCATTTTTCCTCAATATCCCAAAACCTACTGCACTGATTAAAATTTTTCTTTTCTCAAAATACTCATCTCAACGGCCTCTACATAGATCAATCAAATCCTAAATCAATATACTCTTTGAGACAATGTTCGGAGATATTGCCATTTTTCCGTGTTTTCATGAAAAATCTTGTAGGCGCGGTAATAATATGAGAAAAAAAGGAGATAGCAAGTTAAAATTTGGTACGATTATAGCTCTTACACAGGTTAGCCTAAACAATCTTCATAAATACACGTGGTTTATATACGTGGAAATGAAGTTGAAGTTGAAGAATTCTTTGCGGTGGCCCTACGTTTGCACGAAGAGAAATATTCAGTAGTAATACCCCAACAGCTTCAAAATTATCTGGTATTTCCCGATAGCTTCGTTATACACAAACGAGGGTGTCAATCTTTGCAGGTTAAAAAAACCCGAGCGCTTGCGCGAATTTTGAATCTCGAGGGGTATTTGTTGGATTATTTTTCCCAATCAGATTTTGGCCAAGCAGAGTGCAGTGAACAATATCAGGAGGTGAATTGGAGAAGATTTGAACAAATTATGCGAATAGAATAACCCGATTTCCATAGACTGTCAAATATAAGATTCTATTTGAAATAAGCCGAAAAAATGAAGAGCCACTGCGAAACATTCAGGCAAAAAAAATGAAGAACTACTGCGAAATATTCAAAAACTAGGAGGAAATATCCGAAATAAAGCTATCGGGTAGCTTCAAATACTGCGCTCTGATTGGTCGAAATCCGATTGGGAAAAATAATCAATAAAAATGATGTATCTTTTCCGTAATTCCGGAGCGAAATGTGGTTGTAGGAAATTTTACGGGACTGTCAAGGAATTTTTCCTGAGCGTTTCGTAATTTTCATCTGAATCTCCCGTGAAATATTACGATACCGTCACTTAAATTTTCTGTCGATTTTCTTAAATTTTCGGTCGATTCCGTAATCGGTGAGTGAATTCCGTAATCGGTTAGTTCCGTAATTTTTACTGAACATTTCTCTCCGTGTGGTCTCCCAGGGAAGGCTTCATAAAGAGCTTCTTTATTAATCCAATCTTCTAAATCATTACAAAAACAGGTTGGCCACTTAGGCCAGCGGTTTTATGCCTGCCACAAGGATAGGAAATCGCTACGGATCTATTCGGAAGCTTACGATCAATGGAATTGGTGGAAATAAAAAAAGGAAAGACTAATAACGTGAAAAGTAACGGTCACATGCCTTCTGTCGGATAGGGTCGAACCCCTGCATGTGTTCAAAACTGAAATTTGTTGAAAACTAGAGAATACGTAGTTGATTTTAGAAAATAATTTAAAAGTTCAATCAATGACCTGAAGAAAATAAGAATAATAAAGAAGGAAAGACCGCAAAAATACGCTAGTATTGATCTTTGATGAACACTGCATGTTAAAGAAAGGAGTCTTTCTCAACTCCTAGTTTGAGAATAAAATCATCAATTGAATTTTGAATTCGTTTCAGTTGCGCCAATCTGCAGGCACGTGATAAATGAGGAGCCATCAGCCTTATCTAAAGCATCAATACCACCAGCATTGAACACTATTGAGCAACTCCATGGTGCTCTCAGGCACGAGACGATAGGACTGGTTTGTGAGGTGGAGGCTATACCGACTGCAGTTACCTTTCGTTGGACATTCAATAATAGTGGTGATCTTAGTGATATTCCATCCAACAAGTTCAGCAGTGATGGCACTACGAGTCGTCTCAATTACACACCATTAACTGATATGGATTATGGGACCATTGGGTGTTGGGCTAGCAATGTCGTTGGCCAATCTAGACAGCCATGTTTCTATCAGATCATTGCAGCAGGTTTGTGGAGTTTCAATTGTTTACGCGAGATGTAATCTGAATCGATTCCGGAGATCCGCTTAGATAATCTACCGCATGCGCTGGAAAGATATCGATTCTCATCGTATTTTCAATAGAAATTCTGTCCATTTTTGAAAGCAATTACTCATATTTAATTCATTACGAAGGAAATATACCCAATCCAGTGGTCATCAGCTCTCAGAAAACGTGCCAAGCTGATTGCTATTAAGATAGTATATTTAGGCCTTCGATAAATTGTTAGTAGAGAATCGTTAAAATACACATGAATGAGTGACATAAAACACACACAGTAACTTCAACTGATTGTTTTACCAACAAAACGATCCACTGGAATTGAAAGGACATAGAATTTACATAAAGCGAAGTAGAATCAAAATGGGAAATAAAAACAATTTTTTTGTAGAATTTTGATTGACGTGATCACGGCAATTTAGTCGGGTTGATTTGAATTGATTGAATCATTTCATAATTGAACTGTCGTAGATTTTATTTTTGAAACAGGGAGGCCCCATCCCCTCCAAAACTGCACAGCTTACAACAACACAGAGACAAGCGTACGCATATCATGCATCGAGGGCTTTGATGGAGGAATGCCACAAAAGTTCGTTGCTGTAATCAATGATCAACAGTTTGAATCAACGAGACCCTCCTGGGAATTGGCGATACGAAAACCAACGAGAGTTTTATTATACGCGGTCAATGGAAAGGGATCCAGTGATCCAGTTATCATGAATGATATCTTCCTCAAGGGTGTCGCCAAATTCACTGGTAGGGGATGCACAAGTGTGTCAATTGAAATTAAAATTTTATTATTCCTTTAGTTTTTTTTGTAGAAGATGAATGATAAAAGTTCCACGATTGAATTCATGTTGGTAATTTCAGTTGAATAATTGGTCTTGGAAAGTGGAGATAATTCATTTAACTAATTACTGGATTATCTCGGTAGCCGGTGACGATTAGGACCGTAGAGTTCATGGAATAAAAAGTCTAGTAACAACGTCACTAGGGAATTATGCATGAGTTGCTCAACAAGTCTGTTACGAGACTCCATTAAATTATGTCTCTTGATGGTTTTTGATATCATCGTATTTATTTTGATTATTGAACACTGGGGCGCTGCGCACATTGAAATTCGAATTAGTGCAACCATATGAACTAGAAAAGTTTTTTTACGCTGTATGACGAACAATATTTTTTGTCATAACGGTTGTAACGTCCGTGAGGCGTTGTCTTACGGCCGGAATGACAAAAAATATTTTATATGATACGGGCGTGTAACCGCATGGGTTTCAGTTGACTATAGTCAACTGGAAATTAGCGGGCTTCGTCCCCCACACCCCCCACTCGCCCCCCCCCC